CCCTCTGAAGTCTTCAGTGATTCATGCCCTGCATGCGTACTTCTGCACTATGTGTCAGGAGAAGGGGCTTGCCCATTGACATTCTTGGCTGAGACAAACAGTAACAGTGCAGCCTTTCAACTGGCAGTTTTCACTGGGAGTTTTGGGTGCACAAGGAATGCAGGAGAACGTCTGTAGGCTCCATGTGGTGTTGGTCAATATGAAAATATTGATCTGTGGGGTTTTTATAATTCCCTTTCTGTTGGATTTTTTCCCTCTTTTCTTTCTTTTCTGTTTATCCCAAAGATCACAGACCTCCCTGCGTCTGTGCTTCACCATCCAGGATTTGAACATATGGTTCTTATTTGATAACGCCAAACATTTCCAGCAAGGCTAGCAAGTGGAATTCTGTCCCAAGCTCCGGCACAATAAACCATTGGAGCTTCTTCACAGATTTAGCATTTGCATCTGTCTGTACGGAATGCGTCTCTCTTTGTGGCATGCGTGCTTCAGGTGTTCGGTTTGCAAAGGCGAGTTTCACATAGTGTAAACACGCAAGCCGTCATTGGGAGGGCTGGCACGTCTGGCACAGACAATCATTAGAAGCCGATTGATATCGGTGTTTGCATAACATACTTGCGGGGGGGAGTGGGGGAGAGGAATCTTTCAGCTGAGCGTCCTTGAAATGAAAAGCGCTTTATAGCTTCAGTGGTCTCAACGATGGGGCTGGTTCAATACATAAAATCTACAAACCAAGGTAGGTTTCAGAGTAGCAGCCGTGTTAGTCTGTATCCGCAAAAAGAACAGGAGTACTTGTGGCACCTTAGAGACTAACACATTTATTAGAGCATAAGCTTTCGTGGACTACAGCCCACTTCTTCGGATGCATATAGAGTGGAATAAATATTGAGGAGATATATATACACACATACAGAGAGCATGAACAGGTGGGAGTTGTCTTACCAACTCTGAGAGGCCAATTAACTTAATTGGTAAGACAACTCCCACCTGTTCATGCTCTCTGTATGTGTGTATATATATCTCCTCAATATTTATTCCACTCTGTATGCATCCGAAGAAGTGGGCTGTAGTCCACGAAAGCTTATGCTCTAATAAATGTGTTAGTCTCTAAGGTGGCACAAGTACTCCTGTTCTTTTTGCGGATACAGACTAACACGGCTGCT